AAAAAGTCAAGGTTTGTAATTCATAATTGATTTATCTCAATGTTTTTATGTCCATTATCAATAAAAAATAACATTTTGTTTAAATAAATCAGTAAACTAAAATCTGTTTCAATTTACTGAGCATTTTAATTTCAAGCTTGTGTTTTAATATTATTTGTAAAAAGAAATGTATGAGAGAAAAGTCATTCCTAAATCATAGTGTTGTGAGAAAAATGCTTTTTTTCATGTTTTCCTATAAGTTCTGGATGAAAGATTAGGTGACATGATAAAGATGTAGCTGATATGCATGAGTAGATTCTCAAATGAAAGTGAAACAATAAAGAAGTAACTGTTGGAGCAAAAAGACATCTGGCAGGAACATCTTTGCATATGAAATTAATGTTGTCTCATTAGATTTTTCATCAATGGCCTCTAACATCATTGGTGTTTCCTAGGTGATTCCTGTCCCTTCCTGACAGTGCTGCACCCCTCCAGTAAGGAGTTGCAGAAGGGGAGCGTCAACCTCATGTGTCTACAAAGAGTTTCTGTAGCCCCACTGAATTATCCTAAAAATGTCAACTGTTTTCTTTTTTTTGTTAAACCATTACAACCAGCTATAATGATTGTTCTGTCTTATTACTCCAGATCATTTTGCATATCAGTGATTTAATTTCTAAAACTGCAGGGAGAATCCTGAGGGCAATGTAACAGCAACAGAAGAATTAAAAGAATACGGAACAAAGAGGGCGGATAAAACTCAGGACTGATAAAACACTTTCTAAAGTTTTGTTAAATATTTTCATTATAAACAGTGCTAATAATCATAAAATGTTCTTCTGTGTTCTATGAGTTTGTTTTTAACTTTCAATATAAATAATTCGTTTTTCCAATATCGAATGCTTCAACATAAATGCTGTTTTGATTTAGTTACTTTTTAAGGAGAAATCTTGTAGTCGAAGCATTTTATGGAATAGTTTTAATACAGACATTCTGTGCAAGAAACAGAGGTGCTTCGTGATCCAGAGAGGAGTGCAGGCAGTCCGGGTGGCTATCGAGCAAGTTTTATCGGAATTACAGAGTATTTCTTCACTGAAAGAAGAGCAAAACACTGCTCTGGAGGCTTTTCTCAGAGGAAAAGATGTTTTTGCTCTTCTCCCGACTGG